TGTCGACGCTCATGAAAGTAGGCGCAATCAACTGGGCGCCCGGCGCCCGATCGATTGCGCCTACTTTCATGAGCGTCGACATGGATCATGGTAGTTATCGAGATATGGTTGATCAAAGTTGTAACACCGTCACAAAAGTGATGCACGTATTGGGAGCGCGACTGAAACACGGGTCTCCGAGGGTTAGTCTGCGCTTTGGGTTTCCCCTAGCCTAGTACCCCTAGCGCCTAGCGGCGGAGCGCCCCCTCTACTCGGAGCTAAGAAACACCAAACACGCACATGACGTACATCCTCACTCGACGTCACCCCTCAGGGCCCCTCCGATCGGCCTCCCCACCCTCGATTCGGAGGGGCTCTCCTTGCGAGCGGAAAATTCTTTTGCTCGAGCGCTTGAAAAAAACTTTTGCTCGAACCACACCACTCGGGGGGGGGGACTTCGGACCCGATTAGCTGCCGCCTCGCGCGCGCCGCTGCTGCCCTCGCCAGCAGCCGCCGCGGGCGCAGTGCCATCGTGCGGACTGACGGTCGACTCGCCACATCGATTTCAACTCACGCGACGCGCTCGGCCTCCGCTGGCGGCTGCCGCAAGAGCGGCTGTGGCTCACGACAGCGTCTCGCCGGTTGCCGGATAGGAGAGTACGTAGAACGTCTGGAGTGTAACTGTGTACGTCACATCGGTCTTGATAACAAGCACGGTCGATCCGTCAAAGCGATACACTCGTTCCTATCTCGCTGGAGGGCTGGCACGGAGCTCTGTGCCGGCACACAGCAAGAGAGCCGTGCGGCAAGAAGAGCTCGATGGGGAGCGAGATACACGTGTGTATTGGGTGTTGCGCGCACGCTGGGACGCCCACGTGGAAGCACGCCACTCACGCCCCGCGCCGATGGCCTCCCACCGCATCGGCGCCCGCCTCTCTGGCCTCTCGCGAGAGCAGCTCGTCGCCTTCATCGACGAGCAGGCGCCCCTCTGGAGCGCCGCCGCAATGCGCGTGGCGGAGGAGCACGCCGCACGGCTCGTGGAGCAGCCCGAGTGGGTGCTCTCCGAGGTCCTCCTCTCGCCGGACCTCGCCCCGCACATCCTCGCCGAGCTGCCGACCAAGGAGCACGCCGCCAAGGGCACGTGCCGCGCGTGGCGCCGCGGCTGGAAGGAGACGCTGAAGAAGCGCGAGAGGCCGCGCCTGCTCGTGTTTTGCGGCCAAGACAGCGAGGGTGGGACTGTCAACTCGCTGGAGCGGTACGACCCGTCAACGAACGAGTGGGAGGAGGGGGAGGCTGTGGCGCCGATGCCGACGGTACGGTTTGTCGGCACGGCGGTGCTGGATGGCAAGCTGTACGCGGCGTGGGCGGCGAGAACGACGAGGGCTGCCTTAGCTCGGTGGAGCGGTACGACTTTGCTACGAAAGCATGGGAGGCGGTGGCGCCGATGGCGGTCGAGCGGTCTACTCCCGCCATGGCGGTGCTCGACGGCAAGCTGTACGCCGTGGGCGGGTACGACGACGGCTCCCTCAGCTCGGCGGAGCGGTACGACCCCGCGACGAACGCGTGGGAGGCGGTGGCGCCGATGCCGTCGGCGCGGGAGGCTCACGGCATGGCGGTGCTCGACGGCAAGCTGTACGCTGTGGGAGGCTGCAACTGCAACGATGACGACGGCACCCTCTTCTCTCTCGAGCGGTACGATCCCGCCACGAACGCGTGGGAGGAGGTGGCGCGCCGATGGCGGAGGTGCGGTTTTATCACGCCGTGGGGGTGCTCGACGGCAAGCTGTATGCTGTGGGAGGCTACAACAACGACGACGGCTACCTCAGCTCGGTGGAGCGGTACGACCCGGCGATATGAGTGCGTGGGAGGAGGAGGCGCCGATGGCGACAGCGCGGCAGGAACACGCTGTGGCGGTGCTCGATGGCAAGCTGTATGCTGTTGCTGTGTGGAGGCTACAACGACGACGACGGCCGCCTCAGCTCGGTGGAGCGATACGATCCCGTGACGAACGCGTGGGAGGCGGCCGCGCCGTTCACGGCGGCGCGGATTGCTCTTGGCATCACCGTGGTGTAAGTAGGAGGACGCCTCTCGGGCCGCCGGCGGGGTATAAAAAACACGCGAAGTGTGACGCTCTCAGTTCGCCGTGACGGCACGCGTGACCGTGAGTGCGCGTCTTTACGGCTCTAACTTTATGTTTTTCTTCTGTCTATGCCGTAGCGGTGTTTGACTAATTTAGTATTCCCAGCAGGCGTAGAGCCGTACAGCTCAGAGACACCAGATGTGCAGGTCGCCGGAGCGGTCTCCGGCGACAAGCGTGCCTCCCAGTGCCGCGGCGCACTCGAGGCTGCCCCCCGCGGGGGCATCGAAGCGCGCGAGCGGCGCGGGCGCCTTCTTGTGCGCCGGATCGTCCACCGGCAGCCTTCGGATGTCAAAGACCATGACCGCGCTGCCCGCCTGTGGACACGTCCTGGACGCGTCATGGACATGTCCGGGTTGGAGGCGAGGGACCGCGCCGCCCGCCGCAGCGAGCAGCGCCGCGGGGTCACCCTCGGCGCCGCAGAGCGCGCGGGTGCCGGGCAGCGGGAGGCGGAGGCACGGTGCGCCTGTGTGTATACTCATCATTGTGTCTTCAAGGCGTCTGGGAGGTGTCTGGGAGGTGTCTGGGAGGTGTCTGGGAGGTGTCTGGGAGGTGTCTCGAAAAGGTCTCCGAAGACGCACCGCTCGAGCGCATGTCCCAGAAGTAGCTCCTACGGGCCCGTGTCGTGGACGTGTCGTGGACGTGTCGTGGACAGCCCGCACCGCCACGGGGTGGGCTCCGGTTGGGCGTGGCGGCGGCGACCAGAGGAGAGTGCCCTTCCGGCGGGTGCAGCTCTGCGAGGCAGCAGGCGCCGTCGGCCTGCTCGCAGGTAGAGGTGTGTACAGACGCCGTTCGCAGCGTCGGCGAGGCAGCAGGCGCCGTCGGCCTTGAAGCCGAGCCGGCAAGCCTAGGGTTTGTGGTTTCGGGTCCGGGTGGGGGTGAGGGTGAGGGTGAGGGTCAGGGTGAGGGTGAGGGTGGGGGTGAGGGTGAGGGTGAGGGTGAGGGTGGGGGTGAGGGTCAGGGTCAGGGCTGTGCCGGCTCGCCTCTGTTAGCCCCGCCTCAAGATCGAGGACCGGCAAGCCGGCTCCTAGCGACACATGTCTCGGGCGTGTCAGGCGCGTGCCCTCGACAGTCCACATCGAGGAGCGGCGAGGGCGGGCTCCCGGGAGGACACGTCCCGCACACACCACCGACCCCAACCCTGACCCTGCCCCCCCCGTCGCGAGGAGGCCGTCCGGTGTCCCTGCGAGGGGAGAGGCCGCCCTCGCCGCCTCTGCGCCGCGCCCGGTCGCGCTAGCGACCCTCCACGCCGCCACCAGCTCCTACGGGGCTGTGTCGTGGACGCGTGTCCTGGGCGAGTCCTCCCCGCCGTCCACCCTGCGCACCGCCACCAGGCTCCTCCGATCCGGAGAGGAGAAGGTCAACGCCGCCGCCGCCCCCTCCCGCCAGAGCGAGCGCGTGCACGCCTCGCCTGTGGCAGTAGGCGAGCGGGCTGCCTGTGTCAACCCACGCACCGTAAGGAAGCCTCATTCCCTCATCAGCAGCCGGCGGCAAGCGAACGGGCTGCTTGGATCGCCGCCCAAGCCCAGCCCGCCGACCGCCCTCGCCGCCGCCGCGTGCGCGCGCTCGTCGGCGCCCTCCGTGTTCAGCAGCATCTCCAGCCGCGAGGCGCCGCCAGGCTCGACACGCCTGAGTGATCATCCGTGAGGGGCTCATACATTCGTTGTGGCTCGTCTAGCAGGCCGACAAGGGCGACGCGCCAGAGACGGAGCAGCTGCTGCGGCTCGCCTAGTGCGGAGCCTTCCCTGAGCCTTCCCTGAGCTTTCGTTGTTGAACCTCTCCCTCGCCCAGTGAGCTCTGTCTCCGTCTCCGTCTCTCTCGACCTCTCTCTCTCTCCCCTCACACCTGCCCACCCTCCCGTCTGCGTCTCGACCTCTCTCTCTCCCCCCCCCACACCTGCCCACCCTCCCGCCTGCGTCTCGACCTCTCTCTCTCCCATCACACCTGCCCACCCTCCCGTCTGCGCCGAGACGACGGCGAGTCCTCCTCCGGAGAGCGACACGGGCATCACGTCGTACACCTGCGGCCAGTCTCGGCGTCATCTCGCGGTCACCCCGGAGGGCGACGCGGGCATGATGCATCATCCCGCACACCCAGCGCTCCGCGCCCTCGACAGCGAGCGTCGCCAACGCCGCCGCCGCGTCCGCCGGCGCGCCGGCCGCCTCCTCGCCCGCCTCCTCGCCCACCGCCACCCTCCACACACGCACAGCGCAATCCCACGAGCCAGAGACGGCCAACAGCTGGCCGCGTGCGCCGAGCGAACCGTCCTCGTCGCGCCAGAGCCGCACGCACGAGACCGGCTGCGAGTGGTGTGCCTGCTCAATCGAGGATGCGGCTTGCGACGCCACCCGCTGCTCAGCCGCGAGCCAGGACGGCATCGGCGGCGGCCACCGCGGCTTTGGCGGCGCGGCAGAGGAGGACACGGAGGCTGGCGCTGGCTCTGCCGGCCGCGTCGTTCCGCCGGACTCAAAGTATACTGTCACCGCAGTCTCGGACCACGACTGCATTTCATCGAGAGGAGGCACGTCGTCCGCCATGCACTCGAGCTGTATCTCGGCGATGCGCGCAGGAGTGGGCATGAGTGCGGCTTGAGGTTAGAGGCGTGGATTGGTAGGCGGTTTGGCGTTGTTGGCGTGGTTTCGCGGTGGAGCACCAAGAGCTACGACCACTTCAGCCCCCATTCATCCTCCACCTCGACCGCCGGTAGGGTGCCCACACGACCCAAAAGAAAATAGCTTGCCTCAAAAAGGGACGCACGAGGCAAATCTGATGTTGGCCAGTTCCAATAGGAGCGAGGCCTCTTCCGTTGGGGGACCGAGTACATAGGAAACGAGGGTTTCCCATTGTGACCCGCTCCAGTGCGAGCGTGACACTGCACTTGGCGCCGAGCGCCCGCGGCTCAGACCTTGTGCAGGCCACCCCTCGGTGGTCACGCCGGTCCGGACCGATGGCGCTCGGTGTGGAGCAAGCAAGACCCCCCCCCCCCCCCCATCGGCGCGCGCTCGCCATTCCAACGGCCGCCAGGAGCACCAAGAGGACTCCTCATGGCTGTGACCAAGTGGGCTTCGACCGGCCTCGGCTGGGGGGGCGGGTTGTCCCGGCTGCGGACGCGTTCTGCAGCCCCCTGGGCGTGGGTCAGCACCCCAAAACTGCCCCTCGGCGGCATACAGCACTGCCAGCCAGCCTCTTCCTCCTCCTCAAGGGCTGTACTATAGGCCATATTGCGCCACCTCCTACTGGCAGCCGGGCGGGCGCGCGCCGCGGGCGCCTCGGCGCGCGCACGGCTCGCAAAGTTCGAACGAGTACTGCCGCCCGGCCGCCTCAAGGCTGCCGGGCGGCAGTACTCGCCTCGCAAGAGGCGCGCACCGGCTGATCTGGCTGCTGCGCCGGCGGCCGCTGCGCTGGCCGCTGCTGCGCCGGCTGGCGGGCGGTACGGCCGCCGGCGGCCGCTGCACCCGCGCCTTCCCTCGCGGGCGCCGTCGCGCCGCGCGCGCCCAACTCTGCTGGCACACGGCACGCGTCGTCACACAGCCGCGGAGAATAGGCGGTGCAGCGCGCGAAGCGCGCGCGATCTCGTACTAAGGCTGGATCCGGCCATTCCAAGGGTATACCTTTGAGAATCCCCAGCGTCCCACCCTCCTAGTCACACTCTCAATTTCTCGACTGGCCAACACGAAGTGCTGCGATCGGGGGTGGCCCATTTCTTTTTCCTTTCTTTTTTTGGGCCCTGTGGGCACCCTACCGCCGGGCCGACACCTCGAGAGAGTTCCTATCGATGAGTGTCTGACAGTGTCTGACAGACAAACAGAGACCAGTCGCGCGGGCGCTGCAGGGAGGGAGACCATCTTGGAGCGCTCATGCTCATGTGCTGAGCGATACCCGCCCGCCGCCGCACCCGCGCGCAAGCCCACTACATCAAGACTGCGATAGAAGCGCTTCGCGCCGTCCCCATCAGCGCCACCGCCTCCCACGCATCCAACGCCGGGTCGTACCGCTCCACCGAGCTGAGGGTGACGCCGTCTTCGTTGTCGCCTCCCACAGCGTACAGCTTGCCGTCGAGCACCGCCACGGCGTGACTATACCGCGCCTCTGCCGTCGGCGCCGCCGCCTCCCACGCATTCGTCGCGGGGTCGTACCGCTCCACCGAGCTGAGGTGCTCGTCGTCGTTGGCGCTGCCACCGCCAACAGCGTACAGCTTGCCGTCGAGCACCGCCACTGCGAGACAGTCCCGCCCCTCCGCCAGCGGCGCCACTGCCTCCCACGCACCCGCCGCCGGGTCGTACCGCTCGACTGAGCTGATGACGCCGCCTTTGTAGCCTCCAACAGCATACAGCTTGCCGTCGAGCACCGCCACGGCGTGATTCACGCGTGGCGTTGCCATCGGCGCCACCTCCTCCCACACATCTAGCGCCGGGTCGTACTGCTCCACCGAGGCGAGGTAGCCACCGTCGTACCCGCCGATAGCATAGAGTTTGCCGTCGAGAGCCGCCACGGCGTGACCATCGCGTACCGTCGCCAGCGGCGCCACCGCCTCCCACGACTTCGCAGCCAAATCGTACCGCTCCACCAGGTTGGAAGTTGCGCCGCTGGCCCATCCGCCCGCCGCGTAGAGCTTGCCGTCGAGCACCGCCGTGCTGACATACTTTCGTGCCGAAGGCATTGGCGCCACAGCCTCCTCCTCCCACTCATTCGTGGACAGGTCGTACCGCTCCAGCGAGTTGACAGTCCTACCCTCGTTGTCATCGCGGCCGCCGAACACGAGCAAGCGCGGCCTCTCGCGCTTCTTCAGCGTCTCCTTCCAGCCGCGGCGCCACGCGCGGCACGTGCCCTTGACGGCGTGCGCCTTGGTAGGCAGCTGGGCGAGGATGTGCGGGGCGAGGTCCGGCGAGAGGAGGACCTCGGAGAGCACCCACTCGGGCTGCTCCACGAGCCGTGCGGCGTGCTCCTCCGCCACGCGCAGCGCGGCGGCGCTCCAGAGGGGCGCCTGCTCGTCGATGAAGGCGACGAGCTGCTCTGGCGAGAGGCCAGACAGGCGGGCGCCGATGCGGTGGGAGGCCATCGGCGGTCGGGCCGTTTTTCGTACTGTGCTGCATGAATGCTTGCCCAGGTGTGAACAACACCTCGTGACCACGGCGCCGCAGGCGCCTGTTGATGGGTCCAGGTGATAGCCATGGATGGGCAATGCATACGCCTAGTTGGACCTCAGATCGCCCGACCGCGTCCCGGTGCTCTGTGGTCGGATTTGTGACGCCGCCGCACCGCGCCGCGGCCGGGGGCCCTCCGGAGGCCAAGGATGGCCGTGGCGGACCGGGACGAGCTCTGGGAGGTAGAGTGTCAGTGTATATATTGTAGAGGCCAACCTTGTGCACAATATATCTCAGTCTAGCTAAGCCAGGGGAGGCGATACCGCGGCCGTACAGCAGCTTGATGGTGCTTCGCCGGCGTGCGTCCCGGAGCGGTCCCGGTTGGGCGGTCCGAAGGAGAAAACTCAGGACAACGCCGACACCGCTCTGATTCGACTTTTTACTTCAAACAAAGACGGCGGCACGTGCCGCGCCGTGGCGCGTGCCGCGCGTGCATCGGAGAAGGGCAGTTCGTCGTGTTCACGCCGGGATGGTGTCCTGAGTAACCTGGGCAACCATTCAGGGCGACGAGTACTGTACCGTACCAAAGTCTGTGCAGGTGTGAACAGCAGCTCCTAGGGAGAATGTGGCCCTGAGTTATGTGTACGCCAACTCAGGGTGTGTGGCAGCCAGCTGGTTGTGTGTCTTGTGAGCCTGTTTGTGTCTTTGTGTCGCTCGTGCGTGTCGTCATCATCTGTCTCGCGTCCACCCATACCGCGTTGGTGTCCAGTCCGAGCCTGACTGTTGTTCATCTTTCTACATACATACATACATAGCTCCTGAGCACGGCGCCGCAGGCCCTGTTGATAGGTCCAGATGATAGCCCTGGATGGGCAATGCATACGCCTACTTGGGCCTCAGATCGCCCGACCGCGTCCCGGTGCTCTGCGTTCGGATTTGTGACGCCGCCGCACCGCGTCGCGGCCGGGGGCCCGCCGGAGGACGAGGATGGCCGTGACGGACCGGGACGAGCTCTAGGAGGTTCAGTGTCAGTGTATATTTGTAGATAGTATACCCTTGTGCACAATATCTCTCAGTCTAGCTAAGCCTGGGAAAGGCGATGCCGGGGCCGTGCATCAGCTTGATGGTGCTTCGCCGGCGTGCGTCCCGGAGCGGTGCCGGACGGGCGGACCGGTCCGTGGGAGGAAAACTCAGGACAACGCCGACACCGCTCTGATTCGACTTTTTACTTCAAACAAAGACAGTGGCACGCGCCGCAGCGCGGTGCATGCCACTGTCAGGAGCGGATCCGTCGGTTAGCTGTGTTCACGCCGGGACAGCGCGGTGCATGCCACTGTCAGGAGCGGATCCGTCGGTTAGCTGTGTTCACGCCGGGATCGTGTCCTGAGTAACCTGCACACACTTTAAACTCACACACACACACACACACACACACACACACACACACACACACACACACACACACACACACACACACACACACACACACACACACACACACACACACACACACACACACACACACACACACACACACACACACACACACACACACACACACACACACACACACACACACACACACACACACACACACACACACACACACACACACACACACACACACACACACTTTAGGCCGCGACAGTACAAAGAAAGCACTGTCCAATCCCCTCTAACGTGGGAATCCTACAATGCATGTTCAGTTTCGCGCGAGATTTTTTCTTCTTTTCCGATCTCCGCGAGTGTCCCGTCCTCCCATCCCTCCCTTGGGCTCTCAGTTTTCTTTCTTTCTTTTATGTGTGTGCCAGTCCGCGCCAGTCCGCGCCCTTGTCGTGCCAGTGTGCTGTGAGAGAGGCTTGTATCCTTTTATCAACACGGACCGGACGGTGTATGGAGGGCGGCGTCGGCGAGCGCCTCCTCCTTTGTCGTCCACCACACACGCAGCAGATCTCCATGGCGGCGGTGGCGGGCGACGCCGTTCGCCGACAACATCAACAAGCAGGCGCGCAAGATGCGCACCAACTGGATCAAGAACAAGCAAGCGGCAAACGGCCTCTTGTCCTCGGCCCCAGTGGGGGGTGCCCGCGCCGCCTAGTTCCGCGGACGGGCCCCTCCACCCTTCACGTACGATTGAGAGAGATTTTTAGCAATTGTGTTTTGTCGCATGTGTGGGATGAGAGTCGGGTCTTGTGGTTTGGCAACATCAGCATACCCTCATAAAGACTGACTGCGGCTCTTACACTCAAACCGAGTCAGTCTGGCCCCACGCTCTTCCCCTTACCTCTACCTCGCGCTCGCCCCTACGCAAACGACAAGTGCGGGCCCGGCCCTGCTCGCCCGGGCCGGGGCCCTCGCGCTTGAGTCCCTCGGGCTCTCGCCTTCTTGCCCGCGGCCTCCACCAGAGAAGGCAAGCCCCGGAAGGACTTGAGCTCTCTCGCGCGCGTCGTCTTCTCCGGCTGCAGCTCGATGTTCTCGCGGAGCCACGCGTCGAGGTGGGCGTAGAGCCGCACCGCCTCGCGCCGCGCCTCGGAGCCGCTCGAGAGAGGCAGCGGCTCCGCCTCAGCAGGGTCGGCCTGAGTGCACACACACAGGGTCCGTGAGGGATCAGAAAGCAACCTCAACCCCATGTATCGGACCCCCATCCAGGGAGATCGATGCCACAGATGCGGCTACATTGAGGGCAGGGACTCGGCTAGAGGTCACGAGTCGCTGTCGGCTGGGTCGTGCGCGCCGTCAGGTTAAAGAGCAGCCACTTCATCCGCACGCCACCGTGCACCACGACCGCCCCGCCTGGCGCCCAGCGGCTTCCCGCGGGGCGAGGCGCCGTTGCAGGAAGACCCGCCATCGTGGCGGGCCCCGGCGGGGCGTTCTGTGGGATGTGGCTGGGCCCCGCCTTCTCCGCCGCCGCCGCCTCGATCGCGGCGTGCCACAGCTGCGCCTCGGCCGCCCCTCCGCCAGCCGAGGGCAGCCCTGCGCGCGTGAAGACCTGGCGCAGTCGTAGCAGGTACTAGTAGGTAGGTGGCAGGTGCGATGGCCAGCCCAGTGTAAGGGAAAGGTGGGAGAGGAGGGAGAGGAGAGGAGAGAGAAGGCTGGGGGAGAGAGTTGGGAGAGAGTTTGAGAGGGAGAGGAGGGAGGGAACTAGGGAGGGCATCCATGTCCATGTCCATGTCCATGTCCATGTTCCATGTGGTTGGGGGAATCTGTGAGATTGGGGTCGTGAGAGAGGGTGCGAGGGAGGGCGAGAGGAGAGATCAGGAGAGAGAGGAAGAGAGGGGCGCGGCTCGCCCAGAGCTTCAACGAGGAGGAGTGGACGCTCAGGACGTCTTTAGAGTGGTGGAGGAGCGGCGGGCCCTCGCGCGATCGCGGCGTGCAGCCAGCCGCCGCGCCGCCGCCATCGAGCCACAAGCGCTGCACCCCGCCGTCGAGGCGGGGCAAGCCGGCGGCGGCGAGGGGCCGCGGGCTGATGGGAGAGCGGGGCGGCGGCGTGTCAGTCGTCACGTGTGAATACGTGCTCACGTCGACGCCGGCGAGCGCGGCGATGGTTGGCAGCAGGTCGAGGTGCGAAGTGGCGCACGCGGTGGAGGTTCCTGCACGGGACGGTTCCGAGAAGGTTCTCCGAGGGCGGTTCTAGCAGCCGAACTTCGGGATTGTGATGTCATGCGGCGGGCGCGCCGGCGGGGGCGCCGCGCCAGCGGAGCAGGAAGGGGACGAGGAGTCCGCCCTCGAGGATGGTGTGCCTATAGGTCATTGATCATTGGGCGGGTCCAGCAATGAGTTAGTCGAAGAGCAGCCCCGTGTGCCCTCGAGGAGCAGGGTGTGCTTGTCGCCGCTCGCGCCCGGCGCGGTGCGGCCCATGTTGTTCAGCTCGGCGTCGGTGGGGCCGGAGGGCCACGGCCGCTCGGGACCGTGGTCGGCCGAGAGGAGGAGGAAGGTCTGATCTCCGAGGCGGAGCTCGTCGTCGAGGACAGAGAGGAGGCTGCCGACCTGGAAGGGAATCAATGTCAAATTAATTAGTGACTGTCAAGTAATTAGAGAGGAGGCTGCCGACCTGGATGTCGAACCACCCAGGCCGTTAAAATTCATGTCGACTACTGTTCATTCCTGTTCATTAAAGCTGCCGTACCTGGAAGTCGACCACCCAGACCGTGGCGAGGTACTCGGCGAGCGCCTGTGCTAATGCCGCTCACATTCGTGCTCATTCAACAAGGCCACACACACCTCAGACACCGTGGCGAGGCGTGGCGAGCGCGCCACACGGGGTCAGAGATCTGACCCAAGGTGTGTGCCAACTTCCGGTGAGCCTCTACTGCTCCTTTCTCCAACTACTAACCCCCCGCGAGCGCGCGCCCGCTCGAGTGCGCCCGCCGGGTAGGGGCGGCCCGCCCTCCTCGCCCAGCCCTCCGCCGCCGCCCGCGCCGCCCGGACCTTGGCCGCCATCGGGCCGCCCACCACGCTGCCCCAGTCAACAGCAGCCCCAGCCGCGAGCAAGTGGCCGAAGGGCGTCGCGCCAAGCACGCTGGCGGCGGTGCCGCCGAGCATCTCGCACAGCGGCCGGCCGACCGCCTCGACGACGCTCACCTGCTCGCAGGGCCGCAGCTGTGAAGAGACGCTGTTCACAGGGCCGCTGGGAGACCCTCGACGACGCTCTCGCCGGCGCGTGCGGCGCGTGGAGCCAGACGTTGGCGTAGAAGGGGCGCGACTCGTCGCGCGCTCGCAGCCACGCCACGGCGGCGGCGACCACGCCCGCGTCGCGCGGCTCCCGCTTCGAGCTTGGCAGCCTGCGGTGTCAGGACAGGTGTCAGGACAGGCGACGGTGAAATATTGCACGTCTCTGAACACACCACACGCAGTGGGCCGCCATCCCGGTGCAAACGGTCATCAGGCACGGGGGCTGCACCGCTGCTGCTGCTACTCCTGCCGGGCAGCCTGGAGCAGAAGGAGGCGCCCGCGCGCGTCGACCCGCCGGAAGGGTCGAGCGTGTAGTGCACCTTTTCCCGCGACATGTTGCCCGCCGCCCTGGCCGCCCTGGCCGCCTTGGCCGCCGCCCGCGCCTCCTTGATGTGGGCCGCGTCCTCCGCCTCCGCAAGTCGGACCGCCTCCGCGTGCCTCCTCCGCGCCTCGGCCGAAGTCGGCGGGCAGAGGAGCGCCGCCTGCTCGCGGACAGCAGCTGCGCCTCGCTGCCCTCGTGACCGCTCGCCGCCGCGCCGAGGCGGACGAGCTGCTGCCGCTGCCCTCGCCTCGGCGGTCGAGGACTGGCCCGCCCACGGGCTGGCCGCGACGCGCGCACACAGCGGCGTCGGCGCCACGCCACGTCCTGGCGCCGCGTCCCGCTCCTCCTCCTTCAGAGCCCGTGTGGAGAGGCTTGTGGAGAGGCGCTTCTCGCGCCGCTGACTGTACGGGTGGCGCTGCTGCCGCTGGTCCAGCCCGCCCACGACCTGCAGGGAGTACGAGCCGTTGACCGCGCCCTTCTCGAGATGCCACTTTCCAAAGTGCGCCGTCTCGTAGCCGTGCTGATTGAGGATATCCGTCACCGTCGGGAGATCGCCGACGCCATTGTTGCGTGCGTTCGGGAAGGCGAGCGTGCTGCGCCCGCTCATCAGCGCCGCGCGCGAGGGCGCACACGTCGCGCCGCCGGCGTGGTGGCCGGTGGACACGAGGCTGGAGCGAGCCAGCCGGTCGAGGTGTGGCGTGACGGAAAGTGGGTGGTCGTACGCAGCGGCCAAGTCGAAGCCCAAGTCGTCGCCGAGGATGAGCATGAAGTTTGGCCGGGTGGAGGCAGGGGTAGCGAGGATCGGGACGAGCATTGCCGACCGTGCTGGAGCACCGGAGGTCACGTTGAACTCGGAGTTGTCACGACACACAGGTAGAGGCGCCGTTCGCAAAAAAGAAACAGAAGTTCCGTCCGGCGGGCCCCCCGCTACCATCCAAACCCGAGTACAAAGCGCCTCTCCGAGAGGCTGCGCAGACGGTCTAATAATCATAGAGGCTCACAAGTCCACACGCACACACACACGCGGGAGACACACACGGGTGCCATCTGCCACACACAAAGCATAGCCCTGTAAGCCCTGGTCTGGCCGATTGCATTCTTTTGCGGTATCTCCCTCTATCTCCCGGTATCTCCCCGTATCTCCCCGCATCTCCTCGCATCTTCTCGCATCTCCCCATATCTCCCCGTATCTCTTATCTCCCGGTATCTCCAGGTATCTCCCGGTATCCCGCGGTATCCCGCGATATCCCGCCATATCCCGCCGCGGATACCGCGAAAAGAATCGGCCAGACCAGGGACAAGCATTACTCTCACGACACACGGGGATCGGGTGGAGCGGCGGCGGCGGCGGCAGCCGGCAGCAGCACGCGCGGACGGACGGCGCCGTTCGCAAAAAATAAAAAAGGTTCCCGTAGTCGTTGAAGGCACGTGTGTGATGGAGAGTCACGTCACACCGCTCCTGCCAGCCTTTTTAGTATAAAACCAGAAGGATTCAGTACCTTTGAGACTCCTCACAGGTGCCACACAGTGCCTTGACACGAGTAGTAGTGTCTGACAGAGACCCGTCGCGCTGGGAGGGACACTATCTTGGAGCGCTCTACATCAAGACGTTTTGAGCGGCCAGTGGAGCTGTGTCACGATCCCATGAGAGTACTCCAAATACATTCCCGGAGTCCGCACCCACATCGAGCAAAGCAGCCCTAATGAACGTGCACGCGCAAACTTTTCCTGAAGCACACCGCCCCAGCAACCGGCAGCGTCGACAGGATCGTGCCGCGGTGAAGCTTGCAGCGCGAGGCCTTGTCGAAGAGGAAACCAGCCGCGGTGTGCTCGAAGCCTGCACGAGTCGGGTCGGTGAGTGTCGGAGACTGGACCTTTCTCTCACCTTCCACGGTGCCCGGGCGGCCAGGCGGAAGGGAAAGGGAGGCGTACGCGCCGGCGCAAGCGATGTCGTAGAGGCACAAGTCGTGGCATTCAGGGTAGGACTTACCCCACAAGTCGACGAAGTTGCCCTCGTTGTCGGTGCGGCATGCGCCTAGGCGCAGGCAGGTGGAGGCGCATATGAGACGCAAGGTCTAAGGGAGTGGGAAGGGGGGGGGGGGGGGCACCCGTCTTCAGGCGGGTAAAGTGGGCTGGTCCAACCAGCGAGCTAACAGCGGGCAGGGGCGTCTCGGCAGGATCGCGGTTGCACTCCGGAGGATAGATCGAGTTCAAGGTGCAGACATCGGGAAGGGTGGGCAGGGGGCAGGCAAAGTTGTTGACGCCGCCCAAGGAGCAGCGCTCCAGCGGCAGGTCGCTGAGCTCCGACGGCACGGTTCCAGAGATGTTATTGTTGTACAGCTGCAGGCACGTTAGCTGCGAGAGCTTGCCCGTCTCCGAAGGGATGGTGCCCGAGATGGAGTTGCTGTGTAGGCTAAGGACATCATGCTGCGAGAGCTCGCTCAACTCCGCAGGGATGGTGCCCGAGATGGAGTTGGTGTTCAGGGAAAGGATATTCAGTTGTGAGAGCTTGCCCGTCTCTGGAGGAATGGTGCCCGAGATGGCGTTGTTGTTCAGCCAAAGGTTATACAGCTGCGAGAGCTTGCCCATATCCGAAGGGATGGTGCCCGAGATGATGTTGTTGTACAGCCTAACGTACTTCAGCTGCGAGAGCTTGCTCATCTCCGCAGGGATGGTGCCCGAGATGGAGTTGCCCTCTAGACTAAGGTGCTTCAGCAGCGAGATGTCGCCCAGCTGCGGAGGGATCGTCCCCGACAGCTCTTTGCCGTACAGATACACGGTGGTCCCCGTATATCTGCCGTCGCACAGCGATGTGCCATACACGCCGGTAGGGCAGCCGGAGGAGCATGGCACGCTGTTGTCGCAGATCGTGCCCGACGCCTCGCCGCGACCCGCCAGCAGGAGAAGCGTGAGCAAGACGAGGCGCGGTGCCGAGGAAGAGCAAACTGCCGCCAGCGACGTGAGAGCGAGTGAGAACGCGTGCTTGGCACCGACGCGGGAGTGTGCTGCGGTCGAGGCTGAGGCGAATGGCAGCGGGGTGAACGGTAGCGCTGCATCGAAGGTGAGGCTCGAGCCCAGCACTCCGGAGAGCGCCGACAACGGGCCCGCGGCATCGCTGCCCACGTCGGGCAGCAGCACAACAGAGGTCTGCATGATGGCGGCTTGCAGAGCGTCCCTTGGCGCCTTGCCCACTAGCGAATGCGAGCGTCTCACGATTAGGGGGGCGACGTCTTTCTTTTTTGAGTGCGCCAGTCCACGCCCTTGTCGAGCTGAGTCGCGGATGACGGCTTCTGTGGTGAGTGAGTGAGTATTCTTGATACGAAACCACGACGACACACACCAGTCGACTCGCATCGGTTCCCTCCATGAACGGCGGAGCTATTCTCGCGTCCACACCACACCAAGTCACACTGTCAGTGCCAAAATTCTTCTTGGCTTCTAAAAATCTCTCTCTCCACACCTGGCTCCAACGTGGACACGCCCATAGCTGGGGACACTACTAGGTTAGGTTAGGTTAGGTTAGGTAGGAAGGTGAAGAACAGCCAGGCTCGGACTGGACACCAGCGCGGTATGGGTGGACGCGAGACAGATGATGACGACACGCACGAGCGACACACAGACACAAACAGGCTCACAAGACACACAGCCAGCTAACCGGTTAGCTGGCTGCCACACACCCTGAGTTGGCGTACACATAACTCAGGGCCACATCCTCTCTGTCGCCCCCCCCCCATAGGAACTGGAGGAAGCGTCGCCTCCGGCGACCCCTCAAGGGGGAACTTCAGAGAAATGTACCCAAGAGGAATGTACCGAAGTGAATTCGCAGAGGATTATACCCGAGAGGAATATACCAAAGTGAATCATGGGAATATACCAAAGAGGAATGTACCGAAGTGAATTCCCAGAGGACTATACCCGAGAGGAAAATAACAAAGTGAATCCAAGAACCAGAGGACTATACCCAAGAGGAATTTACCGAAGTGAATTCCCAGAGGAGTATACCCGAGAGGAATATACCGAAGTGAATCAGAGGAATATACCCAAGAGGAAGAATACACCATAGTGGATTATACCAAAGAGGAATACACCGATGTACCAAAGAGGAATACACCGATGTGAATTCCCGAGAGAAATATACCAAAGAGGAATGTACCATAGAGGAAATACCTAAGAAAATACCCAAGAGGAATATACCTAAGGAAATACCCCAAGGTAATACCTAAGGGATATCTAAGGGTCATATCTAAGGTGTGAAGAACCGTCAAAAGTGGTCAGAACTGTACCTCCTGAGCAGATATGGCTCTCGTTCACAGTCGACTTGTGTGTGAACCAAAAAGTGGCCGCCAGCTGGAGCCGCCTTCTTCGGTGCCCGCCCTCGCGGTCCGTGCCAGCCGCCACGCTGTCAGCTTGTGCGCCGGCTGCCTCGCCGGAGAGGCGCCGATCGCCGCGGCGCTTGCGACGGCACCGGTGCGGGCAGCGATGAGTGCTGTTTGCGTGTCGATTGTCGCCGCTTGTGCTTGTCCGCCAGTCGATCTGTGTGGTCACGCTCTCGCGGCGCTTGTTGTGTGAGTTGTACTCAGCAAAAGCGTTATTGACACGTCACCGTCCATCGACCCCACCCGCCGGCATCGCTCGCCGCGCGTTCCTTCCCACTTGTGCCGTACAACGCTCCGCGAATTTTGGACGGGACAGAGAGTGGCGTGCGGTGAGGAGAGTCTTCGGATAGACGGGCGCGTGCTGGCGGCTCCCTGCATCCATGCCCGAGATCCGTGGCGTGACGCGACCGTGTGCCGTACCAAGGGGCACTGGCTTGAGCTCTCCACATCGAACACGTCCGTTTTCGGAGATATGGAGGCAGTAGACATAGCAAACATACGATCGCACGGTTGAGTGGGCGCACTCACGGTGCGGATGCCGACGCCGCTCACCACACAGACCGCACTCGCGCACACCGTCTAATCGCGGCACGAGGCTTGCCCTGGCGCTATCACGCACGACACTATCACGCACGACAGCAGCAGGTCTGCCAGCAGACACGGGCGCGCTCATTCCTCGTCCTCCGGGTCGACGAACCAGGCTGTGAGAAACCAGTGGCTTCCCGGTGCCGGCTCCGCGTCCGAGACGTCGGTGACAGCGGTGACGGTGTTGGCCCTCTCGGCGGAGTACAACCTGCAAACCATCATCGAGGCATGCTACTCCGGGCTGCTTCTCGGCTGGCGGAGAAGCTCGCGCTCCCGGACGACGAGTTTGGAACGGAGGAGAACCGGCTCGAGTTCGGCATCAACCTCGCGTCCAACGTGTTGAGCACGTCGATCGACGTCGCCACCTCGCTGACGGTCAACGGCAAGTCGCACCTGTTCAACGAGGTGACGCAGCAGCGGGTCCCGTTGCCTGTTTATGACCAGATGGACCTCGTCTACCTCCCCGTCTACCTCGGCCTCGACCTCGGAAGCTACACGCACGTCCTGGTCGACGAGTTGCAGGACGCGTTCCACATCATCTGGCTGTTTATCCAGCAGATGCTGCTCAAGGGTGCGAACCTGCTCATGGTGGGCGACTTCGCGCAAAGCATCTTCTTCTGGGCCGGCGGCAGCCAGGTGTGTTGACCGTCTGACCCGCCGCACCCAACCCGCACTCTGGCCAGTGATCTGTCCCTGCTCTCGCGCAGGCCACGCACGACGAGATGGTCGAGTACTGCCCCCGCCAGCACAAGCACCTCCTTAACTACCGCAGCGGGGAGCAGGTGCTCACGAAAGGCGCGCAGCCCGCGCTGGCCGCCACCGGCTCGACGGACGAGTTGGTCCGCATGCGCGACCTGGAGGGCAGGTATCGCGACAACGCCACCTTTTGGGAGTACCCGATTCCGTCGCACAAGACGACGCTGATTCTGGTTCGCCTCGCCGCCGACGTCGTCAAGGTCTGGAGCGTGCTGCTGGCCAAGGGCTACGTGCACGCGAGGATAAACGGTTGCCCTTCGACGAAGGAGGCGATGCACAAGCTCCTCAACGGGTTCGATGGCCCCATCAACGCGATCGTCACCAAGCTCTCGCTGCGCCTCGAGCTCTCGAGGGCGTCCTCCTCGGCGAGCTCGGACCACGACATGATGCTTGCACTGTTCGAGGCCATCGCCACCTTCCGGCAGCAAAACACGGAGGTGGACGTCTACATGCCTCAGTCGCTCCGCCTTCGTCACGTGGCTCAGCAAGAACTACGACACCGACGTCGCAACGGGGCGCGAGAAGCTGCTCGTGTCCTCCATCCACCAGGCCAAGGGCCTCGAGGCGGAGGTCGTCTACCTGCTCCAGCCAGGGCTCTGCCCGCTGCAGGAGCGGCTCAAGCTCAAGGACGACCCGGTGCGCGGGTGGGAGGCCATCGAGGAGCCGAGAGTCAACTACGTCGCGCGCTCGCGCGCCATCGAGGACTTCTTCGTGATGGAGCACTTCGACGGCGGCCTCACCCGCGGCAACCTCCTCTCGCTCTGGATGCGGCCCCAGGCCAGCGAGGCGACCGACTCGGAGTCCACCAGCGCCACCGCCTCCGCGCCTCCATCGCAGGACAGTCCTCGCTCTCGCGTCCCCCGTGCCTGTCTTGGCTGTCTATGTGACTCCGCCCTCCCCGCACCGCCCTCCCTGGCAGGAGTCTGAGACCGCGGACGAGCCGATCGAGGAGACGGAGGCGACCTACGAGGCGCTCAAGGCGCTCAACCTCCAGTCCGTTCCAGAGACCCTCCTCGACCTGCAGACGGCCTTCCGCTCGCACTTCATGACGTCGACTGCCAACCTCGACACCGCCGAGAAGGCGGCCTTCCGGGACAGCTGCCTCCGGGCGCGGCGCGTCCTCCTGGCGCTGATCCGGCAGCGCACCGCCCCCATCTCCACGCGCTAGTTTTCACCCCGTGCCACTGGGTGACTAACTAGACCAGACAGCGCAGAGGTGTGAGTCGCTCAGAGTCTCAGTGTCGTGCTGTGACCACCGTGCCTGCATGTGCTGCTGCCATCGGCTGAGTCCACCCGTAGCAGACAGGTAGGGGTGAGCGTGACTCGTAACACTAAGCTGTCTCGCCCAAACCATTACTTACACACACAGAGAGTCGGCGGGGAGTCGCGGGTTGGTCTCGGGGAGAGCACAGGTACAGGTGCAGGTCTCGTGGACAGCTGACACTCTGACTAAGTAACAAGAGAAAAGAATTTTCTCACAGAGAAGGGCGGGCAGCACGCCCGCCACCTGAGACAGCCAGTGGAAGGGGGGCTACTGGGGCGGCCAATTCACACCTCGCGGGACTACTTATGTTTTCGATTCGTAAACGTAGTTGTGGCCCCCCGCTACGTCGCACGAGTGCAACCGGGTAGCGGGGGGCTAAAAGCAGGTCGCGGTCTAAGCGGTAGTCGTTGAAGGCACGTGTGATGGAGCAGTCACGTCACACCGCTCCTGCCAGCCTTGTTGGTATAAAATTATTCGGAGCTGCCACAGTGCCTTGACGAGTGTATGATATAGTGTCTCCTCGGACAGAGAGAGAGACCCGTCGCGCTGGGAGGGACACTATCTTGGAGCGCTCTACATCAAGACTGCGAAAGAAGCGCCTCGCGCCGTCGCCATCGGCGCCACCGCCTCCCACACATTCTCGGCCGGGTCGTACCGCTCCACCGAGCTGAGGAAGCCGTTGCTGAAGCCTCCCGCAGCGTACAGCTTGCCGTCGAGAACCGCCACGGCGTGATAAAACCGCGCCTCTGCCATCGGAGCCACCGCCTCCCACGCGTTCGTCGCCGCGTCGTACCGCTCGACCGAGCTGAGCGCGTGGTAGCCGTCGTCCTGCCCGCCCATCGCGTACAGCTTGCCGTCGAGCACCGCCACGGCGAGAGCGCGCCGCTCCACCGCCATCGGCGCCACTGCCTCCCACGCATTGGCAGCCGGGTCGTACCGCTCGACCGAGCTGCGGCGATTGTGGCCGGCACCCTGTCCGCCCACAGCGTACAGCTTGCCGTCGAGGACCGCCATGGCGTGATCACACCGCGCCTCCGCCATCGGCGCCACCGCCTCCCACGCGTTCGCCGCCGGGTCGTACCGCTCCACCGAGCTGAGGTCGCCGTCGGCGTTGTTGCAGCCACCCACAGCGTACAGCTTGCCGTCGAGCACCGCCACACCATGGTCGCTCCGCGCCTCCGCCATCGGCGCCACTTCCTCCCACGCGTTCGTGGCCAGGTCGTACCGCTCCACCAGGTTGGAAGTTGCGCTGTCAGCCTCGCCATCCTCATCCTCGCCATCAGCCTCACTCTCGCCGCCCGCCGCGTAGAGCTTGCCATCGAGCACCGCCGTGCCGACATACCTTCCTGCCGAAGGCATCGGCGCCACAGCCTCCTCCTCCACGCATTCGTTGACGGGTCGTACCGCTCCAGCGAGCTGAGGAACTCGCCCTCGCTGCCTTCGCCGCCGTCTTCGCCGCCGATCACGAGCAGGCGCGGCCTCTCGCTCAGCGTCTCCTTCCAGCCGCGGCGCCACGCGCGGCACGTCCCCTTGGCGGCGTGCTCCTTGGTCGGCAGCTGGGCGAGGATGTGCGGGGCGAGGTCCGGCGAGAGGAGGACCTCGGAGAGCACCCACTCGGGCTGCTCCGCGAGCCGAGCGGCGTGCTCCTCCGCCACGCGCATTGCGGCGGCGCTCCAGAGAGGCGCCTGCTCGTCGATGAAGGCGACGAGCTGCTCTGGCGAGAGGCCAGACAGGCGGGCGCCGATGCGGTGGGAGGCCATCGGCGCGGCGGCGCGGGCAATGGCGCGGGCAACGTATCCGTATTTTCGGAGAGGCCTGCCGAGGCCAAGAACGTACATTCCCGGAGGAGGAAAGAAAAAAAACAAAAAACCAAAGGAGTGTGGTGCATGTTTCTCTTCAAATCAAGTGCAACACGGCTCGAGCCTCTCAGCGTGCCAACTCGCAATCGGCGCCGGCATGACGCTCACCGACGCCCCTGTCGCTCCGGAGCCCGCCTCCCGGCCGAGGCGACGCGGTCCGCTCGCGCCGCCCTCGCGCGCCGAGGGCGGAGGTGGCCTCGCCGGCGCGCTGCTAGGCCTCGCCGTCGTGCCGGCGCGCGAGGCGGAAAAGTACCCCGAGTTCCGCGCGCGGACGGCCGAGGCGTGGCGGCGGCGGATGCGTGCGCGGCAGCCCATCCCGCTCTCGGCGCGGCTGCCGGCCATCCTCGCCGTCGCGCTCGCCTGCTCTGTCAGTGCCGACTGCGCCGCGCGCCTCTCCGAGCGCGGCGTCTGCTGGCAGGCGCTGCGGGAGACGCGGGTGGGCGGCGCGGCGTGCGAGTTCGCGGTGCAGGCTCGCCCGCTCGCCCGGCGGCTCGGTGCCGCGGCGGAGAGCCTCGCCATGCGGTGGCCACGGATGGCGCTGCAACAACCCGCGGCGCAGCCGCCGCAGCGACAGCGGGTGCAGCAGGTGCTAGCCTCGCGCGGCGGGGGCGGGACTGGGAGCGCGGGGCCTTGGCCCGGCACGCTGCTGCTCACCACGCTCCCCGCGCCCCGCCTCGGCCGGGGGGGCGAGGGTCGGCTGCGGCACAGACCGCTGCAGGCGCTGCAGGAGTGGGAGTCTGCGCAGTGGGAGGCGGTGGCAGCGCGGCTCGGGGGTCTCGGCTCGCTCCCTGCCCTGCCGCGGGCTCCTGCTCTGCCCCGGGCTCCTCCTCGGGCTCTGACCGAGAGAGAGGGGTGAGCGGTCCTCTGGCGCGCTCCGCGCAACGGCGCAATGGCGTGTGTGCTGCGCGCTCTGTCGGGGACGGTTATTGGCAGGGTTGCGCGGTCCTGCGCGTGCGGCTCTAAGCGCGATCCCGGCGTAAGTTGCGATGCATGTATTATTAAAGGCCGTGTCGCCGACAGTTACGAATTAGAACACGCGAATCCGATGAGTAGATAAGCGTCCGCCTAATCTAAAATCTGAGGATTCAGGATTGAGGCATCGCTTCAGTGGGGCCAAAGTGAGTTTATGGATGTGTGAGAACGGTACGGGACACGAGGAGTCACGCGGACCGACTCGTCGGTGACTCTGCTGCACGCCCGAGACGTGGAAGAGTGCCACCGTCGGGTAGGACGGGTCGGCCCGGAGCATCAGAGTAGCCATCGTGGTCGCGGCGAGCAGCGCCGGCCACTCCGGCGCCGCGTCGGCACCGTGGGAGCATGTTCACCGCCACTTCGCGGTCGCAGCGCTGTTTGTCGCCCGAACGCCGCATATCCCTCTGGCGGGCCAAAGATCGACTCGCATGTCGATTTTGACTCGACGGCGGCATGGAGGCATCACGTCTCCATGCCGCCGTCAAGTCGGAGCCAGTCTGCGGCGACCACAGCGCTCACCGCAGGGATAGGAATCCTATGCGAGCTTTTCAGAGTCAAGCGATTGCGCGAAATCCCACACTGCTGGATTTTGGGGCGCTGCGCACCCCCTACACAGCACACGACAAAAATCCTCGCGAGGAGAAAAAATCTCGACACAGGATTTCCATTTCGGGAGAGAGCGGCACACCGCACACACCGGCAAGCCGGGATTAACAGTCACAAGTAGAGGGGCTACGCCGCGGAGAGGCTAACCCTTCGCCCGTGGCCGCTGCCGCGGCCGTCGCGGCCGGGCCTGCTGCTGCTGCTGCTGCTGCTGTTGCTGCTGCTGCCCGCTCGCTGCCGCCGCGCCACCAGGCATGATCACGTCGAGCTCGGCGTCGGTGAGGAAGGCCCACGCGCCCGGCCTGCCGCAGTTGGCGAGCGTGATGCCCGCGAAGCCCACGCGGTGCAGCTTGATCACGTCGAGCCCGCAGGCAGCGCACATGCGCCGGATCTGCCGGTTCCGACCCTCCTCGAGCACGAACCGCAGCCGCGCCTACCCTCGGCTGGTCTCGGCTGGTCTCGGCCAGTCTCGGCCGGTCTCCCTTCCCCCGAACAGGGGGGCGTGGCCGCGCGCCGGCTGGGCGGGCGAGGCATCCCGCTCCACCACGCAGGGCCGCGTCCGTGCGGTGAGCGGCTTGGCGCGGCCGTCGGACTGGGCGAGCGTCGTGATGACCTGCTCGCAGCCGGAGGCTGTGAAGAGCCGCCGTCGGTACGTCCGACTGGGCGAGCGTCGTGTGAGGACCACGCCGGCGGCGAGCCGGGCGATGTCGGCGTCGGTGGCGGGCACATGCGTCGTCACGATGTACTCTTTCCGCTTCCGCTCGCCCGCCCGCAGCAGCGTGTTTGTGAGGCCGCCGTCGGACGTGAGCAGGATGAGGCCTCGAGGAGGGAGGGAGGGAGGGCTCACAGGTCCTCTCCCGAGGCTGCCGCCCGAGGGGGAGCAGCAGCAGAGGACCGCTGCTGTCCTTGTCGAGGCGGCCGATCGGGAAGATGCGCTCTCCCACGCCCTCCACCTCGCCGAGCTCATCGAGGATGTTGCCTAGAAGGCTCCGAGACAGTTCCGAGAAGGTTCCTAGAAGGTTCCCGTACAGCCCGTCGAGGATGTTGCCTAGAGGGCCATCGAACACTCCCCTAGGCAGCCAATCAGACCTGCCGCCTCCTCCTCCTCCTCGGCGTGCTCGCCTCGCACGCGCCGGTCCGTCGTGCAGATCACGCCGCGCCGCTTCCACATCTTGAGGTACGAGAAGCGGACCTGAGTAGAGTCTATTCTGTCATACTCTATTCTTCTGTGTTCCACATCTTGAGGTGCGAGAAGCGGACCCGCTCTCCGCCGACGGCGCCGCTCGCTCCGTTGAGCGGCGCCCAGTCGACCCGCACGCCGTCCAGCGTCACAACGTCCCCCGCCTGCCAGGGGGAATCTCGAGGGGCTCTCGAGGGACTCTCGAGGGAATCGGAGGCCGTCCAGCCCCCCCCCCCCCCCCCCAAACTCCCCCTGCCTGCCTGCAGCCGGTCTCCCGCGCTCGCCACGCGGCCGTTGAGCCGCACCCTCCCCGCCGCAACCAGCCGGTCCGTCTCTCGACGGCTGTGGCTCGCCCGCAGCGCCTTGTTGACGCGGACGCCGCCGCCCTCGCCGCCCTCGCCGCCGCCGCCGCCCTCGCCGCCCTCGCCGCCCTCGCCGCCCTCGCCGCCACCCTCGCCGCCGCCTCTCTCGCCCCCTCTGCCCTCGCCGCCTCCGCCCTCGCCGCCTCCGCCCTCGCCCGAGGATAGCGGAGGTGGCGCCGTCTCCCCCGCCGCCGCGTAGCCGAGGGACGCCTCGATCTCGGACGGCGAGAGCAGACGCCACTCCCCCGCGGCGAGCCCTCCTACAGTATTAGCATCACTCCTCAGCACTACTCTTCTCCTCCTCCTCCTCCACCTCCCCCTCCGCGGGGAGCTCTCCGAGGCAGAGGCGTCCCACGTGCGTCCGCCGCAGCTCGATCACCGACGAGCCGACGCCGTGCAGCATCCGCCGCACCTGAATTATATGATATTCTATTCTAATTATTATTATAGCCGACGCCGTGCAGCATCCGCCGCACCTGCCGGTTCTTCCCTTCGCGCAGCGTGAGCCGCAGCGTGCAGCTCGCGCCTCGCTCCTCGAGCAGCTCCACCTCGGCCGGCCCGCTCTCCCCGAGCCCCCCGCCGAGGCCCACGCCGCCGCGCCGCAGCCGTTCGACTGCAGACGCGTTGAGCCGCGCCACTCTAGCGACGTACGTCTTGCTCACGGCGCCGCCGCCCTCCGCGTAGCTGCCCGCGGCCGCCCGCGAGTGCGCGGTCGGGTTGGTGACGTGGTGCAGCAGGCGGCCGTCCGTCGTCAGCAGGAGCAGCCCGGATGTATTCTGGTCGAGCCGCCCGACGGCGTGCAGCACGCCCTGCTGCCGCAGCGCCGCCGGCAGAGCCGCGTCGGACATCAGCCGCGAGTAGACAGTCTCCCGGCCGAGCTCGTCCGAGTGAGTGACGACTAGGCCTTTCGGCTTGTGGTAGAGCAGCGTCTGCGGCGGCGGCGTGGCGGCCGGCCGTCGCGCTGAAGCGGGCCGCCTTGGCGAAGCCGCCGGGCGCCGCGCCGGCCCCGTCCGGCGTCCGCCGCCAGATGGCCGCACCGCCGTGTGTGCGTGGCAGTGCAGCAGCAGCAGCAGGAGACTCCGCATGGCTGCACAGTGGTTGTTGCGGCAGGGTGGAGGGCAGGGGGTCTGAACCTCTGGAAAAGAAATTCGCGTGGTCGAACGAGGCTTTCCCATCTTCGCTGGTTCGCCGAGGCTGGGCAGTCTCCGCCGGCCGCAGCCCGAAGACGCAGCCTTGCAGAGGACGCGTTAGCGGTCAGATGGGTCCAATTTTGAGCCTCGGAGGAGCTCCCGTTGCCTCACGGCGGCTGCTAGACGAGGGCCGGACGCCTCTCAGGCGCCGGCGACTCAACTTTGATCCGGCGGCCTATTTATTGAGGGTGGCTTCACGACTCCGGCCCTCGCACGCGCCCACACGACCCCCTGGACCGGCCTGTCCGACCCACCCCTCTCGACGCGCACCACGCGCCCGACGCAGGAGCCGCGCGGAAGTCGGCGCTCGACGTCGCCGCTCGACCTCCGCCGCAAGAGGCGTCTCGCGGGGCCTGTTCGAGCGTAGTCAGGAGCGCCGCCGCTCCCCCTGGCCATGGGGCACGTGCGGGCCCTTGCCCGTGCCGCCCGTGTGCCGACACGGACCGTTTGACGCCGTCGGTTCTCTTCACACTCGCCCGCGCCTTCGGCCCGCCCGCCACGCCTCCCGCCCCCCGCGGCGACGCCCCGCCAGAGCGATTAATTGGCCGTCGACCTCCGTCCCCTCGTCTGCAGGGGCCGCTCTGCTGACTTGAGCTCTCCGCGGCGCGATTTCTGCAGTTGAGATCGCCTCCCGCCCGCCTCCCGCCCGCCTCGCGTGCCTCTGCTCTCCCGCCCCGCCCAAGCGGCGCCGCGCACGCGAAACGCCCTCTCGAGGCGGAGTCCGTTCAATGTCGCGCTAAAAGCGTGATCGCGTCTCGTTTACGGTGCATACTCACAACCACGCACACCATGTCCCGCTCAGGCTCCTACCGGATAATCATACCCTCCACGACACCGGCGTACATGGCGACGGTCCCGTGCACCGGCGCCGTGCCGAGCCGTCCTCCTGCTCGGCAACCAGCTCCGCCGTGTCTCGATGCCGGCAGCATCCGGTGCGTCGCCGCCGGCGACACCGCCCGCTGCGGCGAGTGGCATGTGCGGTGGCGCGCCCTGCTGCGTGGCCGCCGCCGGCTCGGACGTGGCCGCGGCTGGAGCCGGGCCTGGGTCGGTCGCGGCCAGAGCCAAAAATGGAGCGCAGCTAGGGCTGCGCAGCGAGCAGGAGCGAGTTCGCGCTGCGGTGCTCAGTACGGCGAGTTCGCTCTGCGGCCTGCTCGGGCTTTATCTCTCGCGTCTCGGCTGCGTTGGCTGCTAAAGTCTTTTTTATCGGTGCGTTTTAGCTGTTTTAGCAGCAAACGTCCGAATTCTGCAGCGATGGCCGATCTGGGAGGCTTCCGGCTTTGCCTTTTTTTTGGTCTGGCTGTGGTCTCACAATTTGGTGCGAGAGACGGTCTCAGACCCCAAAGAGAATGCAGAATCTAATGTTTTTTCACACACAACACAGACACAGACACTGCGCTCCCCTCAGCTCCCGCGCTGGCAGGGAGACGCGAGCCCTGACGGAGTCCGGTGGTGGGGGCCCGCCACGCAGCTATAGCGCCGCCCTGCGCTGACATGGTTCGTGCTGAGCCGCCGCCGCCGCTCGCTCTCGAAGAGCGTCGCGCTGCTGCCCGTTCCCGGAGCGCAGAGCGCGAGTTTGGTGGTCAGGGCCTCGCCTGAGGGGGGGGGGGGAGTGAGGACGTCACCGAGCGGGTGGGGCTGCCGGGAAGGTGGTGGGCGGGCGTGGATGCACCTCAAGTACGAGCGAGTAGCGGAAAGACCGCCCGCTACTCCGGCGGAAGAGTGCTCCCCCGCCGCCCCCTGGGTCACCCCGAGTGACCTCGCAGCCCACGCCGTGAGGCGCTGCTGCTGTCAGGGGATGTTGGGGGCGTGCAAAGCGGCTGGGAAGAGACGGCCAGGCTCCTCGCGGGCAAAAGACTGACGTGGCCGCCGCATTCAGCCTCCGGCGGGCCTCCGGCGGACGCCTGCGGCGTGACGCTCCGCGCGAACAGCCCCGTCTCGGAAGCGCTGCGGGACGGCCTCGCTTCAGCGTGCGCCTGCCGGGGTGGGGTGGTCACCAGATGAAATCGCGGCCGCAGCTGCTTCGAGGGGTGATTGAGGCCGGGCAGGAACGGCTTCTCCCGAGGTGCCCGCATCGAGTAGGCCGACGCCACAAGCAGGAGGGCTGCGTGGACCTCCTGGGCCTTCTTGGTCGGGTCGCTCCTCCTGGCATGGCGCTCGGCCTGCGAGCACGGGCGGAGCGAGCGGTGAGCGGGCAGTGTGCCGCCGGGCGGGGAGCTCCGTCACCCTATCGCGGAGCTCTGGTCCCGCCCCTGGGCCGGGATGCGACCCACAATAAAACCCGTCCCACCCGAAGCGCATCTGCCGGGAACGGCCTCCTCGAAACGGAGGCGCGGCGCGGGCGGCGCGCGGGGCAAACGGGCGCACCTTGGGGGCTCCGAGGGGCTTGCGGACGGGCTTTCAGGCCAGCCGCGGACCGGCGCCGGGTTCTCTCCGCGCCGCGAGCCAGGCGGGGCCGAAGAGGAGGACGGACCGCTCAGTCTGCCATCGTGGCTCTGTGGCCCCCCAGAGACCTCGCAGGCAGGTTCAGACCCCCTGGTGGAGGGTGGGGATCGGCAGCGCTCTACCTGGTACACTCTACATCCCCTCCCTCAGGAAGCGAGTTGCGTCCCTGAACTTGATCGCCTCCGACTGCGGCGTGTTTTTGTCGACCTCCTCGCACGCCGCCAGGCACGCGATCCACGCTTCGTGGGCCCCAACAGCAGCGAGCGTGCCCTGTTTCTGGACTGGAGAGGTGCTCTGCTGCGTGAAGTCGCCAATAGGCAGGATGCGCTGCGCCGACGGCAGCATGGACGGACAGAGCGGCCAAGCTCGTACGTGTGGCAGAGGCCAAACTCCTTGTCTTGTGCACGCACCGCGTAGATGCGCGCGACATCGCCACGCCGTTGGCTGATGTCATTGTAGTAAAAGTCCGAAGGCCCCCGCACGGGGGGTCCCGGCCGACGTCATGCGCGTCCGCCAGGGGTCCGGGGTCGCCCAGGCAAGTGGCCCAAATCCGATGAGTTTTCCAGGTGTGAACAGCTGTTGAGAGGTGTGAATTCAATCCCGGGCGGGGTGTGGGGCGGTAGTCCCGCAGAGAAAATTTGCGTGCTGGGGCACTGAGATCGCAGTTTTATTAGTCCACGGCGGATGCCAGCTGCAGCTGCGAGGAGACACGCAGTGCCTCATTTGAGCATGCATCAGCGTCCTTTCTGCTGGCATCACGCATAAGAGAAGCCGAGTGGCACGAGGTCCTCCAATTTGCCGGATCAGCAGCGCAGTCTGGAGCGTGGCTGTGGGGTATGTATGCATTTGCCCCCACAGTCTGAATGGACCGACGGCCGAGCCCATACTGTGTTCTGTGCAGCCATCTCAAGCAGAAGGGGATCGGATAAGTTGCGCATGTCGTTCTTCTGCCGTGCATGCCAAGAGCGTTGAATAAATTCCACCGACTTGAGCGGCCGTGGGTTGCAGGCACACCGTGGTCGTTCGCAGGGCGCAAAATTAGCGATAGCGCAATATTGCCAGGATCTTCAGCCGTGGGGTCGCTGTGGGTCGGTCGGGCGTCACTGGGATGTCTTGCCTGCCTTCTCTGATTGGCATGCGAGGACGATGTGCTGTCGTCGAGGAGCAGGATTGCTGATTGCTCGTCGTCACTCGATGCGTGGCTGGACGTGTAGCCCTGACCCGGCAAGCTGTCGTTGTCGGACTCTTGCCCAGGCGACTCGACAGGAGGACTGATGAGCCCAGCTATCATGTTTTGCGGCGCTTCAGACGACGGTGAACGCTTCGCGGGGCTTTTCAATATGCGCCAAA